AGTGAACGATGGGGAGCTGAAGCCTTCTCTGGCCATGGTGGTCAGTCCTTCCCTGCTGAACAAGAGACCCATGACCGGGGCATCCCAGGCGGGCGAAACAGCAAGCACAGAATCCCTGAGGGGGAGCCAGGAAGAGCAGAAAGGGCGGCCAGCGTGGCTGGAGTGAAGTAACGGGGACATGTGGCAGGGAGGAGGCTGAAGTTGCCTGCTCTCACAGGCCTGGGGGGCCCTGTCAGGAGTTTGAGGGTGCTATCTAAGAGCATGGGAAGCCATTGAGAGTTGGAGCAGAGGCAGGACATCGAATTTCACTTCAGGAGGGTCTGTCAGGCTGCTGTGTGTAGAAAGGACAGAGAAAGGCAGAGGGGAGATGATGGAGTCTGGTTGTACAGGTAGAGGAAGGGAGTGGGTTCTGGTAATGGATTGGGACAGGTAAGGGACCAAGGAGACTCGAGGGGGCTCCTGGGTTTGTGGTCTGAGCCACCAGGGGCGCCGGTGCCCTGGTTGGGATGGTGGTGTCCAAGCAATGGCAAGTGACTAGACAGGTGGGGCAGGGCAAAGTGTATTGTCAAGTGCATGCTGCCGGTGGCTGGACGTTCATCTGGAGAAGGACGTCACTGGGTTGGTTGTGAGTGAGGGGTCTGGGGCCACAGCCTTCCTCCCTGAGCCCAGGATATGTGTGCTGGGTGTATGTGTGGTGTGGGCCTGGGCAGTGGGCCCCACCGAGGACCAGTCAGGCCGTGGAGGCATTAGTTAGTGGCTGAGTGGCTTTCAGTTGCCTGATGTATCGGTGAGGAGGGTGGAGCCTGTGGCCTCAGGCGAAGTACAGGTGGGAATGCTTGTCAAGGCCTGAGCTGCTGTCCACAGGAGCTGGGCTCCTCCTGCGACAGGGGCTTGCCGGTTACTAAAAGCAACCAGGCAGAGGGTTCTGGGAGGCATGTGGCTTCTGTCATTCCTTTGCCCCAGAGATGTGCATCAAGCTCCGCGTAGGCCGTAGGCTGTCTTCTGGGCCTCAGCCGTGTACCAAGCGTGGTCCCCCAGCTCCACTGCCTGCTAGCCTCGAGACATTGGGTGCGCCTCACTTTTCTCACCTGTAGGGTGGGGCCAGCCACCCCCTCAGTGACAGAGGTCATGGGAAGCAGTGGAGCTATAATGGCCGTGACATCCTCAGGATGGCGGTTGCTTGGGGCACCGTAGGCACAGGATCTGTCACTGTGGCGTCTGTCACCGTGGCCTGCCTGGGACACTGGCATGGGGAGTGCTACCCCTCAGACATGCAAGACCTCCATCTATCAGGCACCGTGCTGGGCGCAGCAAAACAATGCAGTGGGTGCTTTCAGGGCTGCCGCCATGAAGGAGACACTCCCCTGGAATAGCAGCAGCAGGACAGCGCTGTGTGAAGGGCCCCATGGGAGCTCGCTTGGGCCCAGGAGCATGGAACCCCAGGCCAGCATCGGGTGAGCGGGGGTGTCGGGGAGGCTTCCTGGGGCCAGACCATGGAGGCCAGATGTCAGCCAGTCGAAGAAAACGGGCAGGGTGCTTCCCAGAGGGGGTAGAAGAGCACTTTGCACAGACTTGAAGGGGAGCGTAATGGGGCTTAAAGCCAGGGAGAGGCTGGAGAGGTGGGTGGGCAGCCCCAGGATGTTGAAGGCAGAGAGGTTCATCTTTGTGTGTAGGCCATGAGAAGGAGCCGTTGCAGGGCTGAAAGTGCAGTGCTGCTTGATTTTTGTGTTTTAGGGTGATCGTTGGGGAAAGTGGATCAGGTAGGATTGGGGTGTGGAGGGTTAGGGGGGTAGGTATGGTGTACTACTGAATATGGGTCCCTGTGAGGCCTCCAGTGGGGAAGTGGGAGCTCTCAGGGGTCCCCCCACTCTGTCTTCATGTCACCGAGGCACCCCTTGCCCTCTGTCTGGAAGGACCCCACCTCAGCTTCTTCTCTAGTGTGTGGTCTGTAGTGCTTAAGAATCAGACAGCCCATCTCATCAGGATTGTTTGTAAAGTAAGAGTACCTAAAAATGGTGTTAATTTGACTTCTTCTAGCTTCACAGGGGGAGAGAGAATCCTTATCAGCATCAACAGTCCAAGGCTGATTTCTGTGAGGCTGAGGTCAAACATACCTCCACCCTCCAGTCTTTTTACCAATTATCATACCAGCCCTCCCTCCCACAACACTCTCTACTTTTCTCCTGTGTTCAATAATTCGGTGCAGTAGCCACACAGAACTCACAGGCCTTACTCACGATTATGGGGTTAATTAGGAAGGTAACGGATTACAATTCTGGTTGGGGAATGCTCAGGATACAGTTCTATCAGGACAGCCTCTTCCCAGCCATGCTGGCATGCCTCTTTCTGGCCGTTGGCAAGTGTTGCAAAGCTCTTTTAGCTCCACCAATGAGTGCTCGAGGCACTTCACTCCACTAGCAAGCCTCAGCCCAAAGATGGTCACCTCTCTCGCTCTGTGGGCCAGGAAGCCCACTGCACTGTCTCTTGCCAGTCTGCTGGTTCTGCCGGTCTCCTGGTTCTGCTGCTTCTGCTGCCACCATTTCTCTGCCCCTGTTGCTTGCCGTTTTTCTGGTGTTAGAGCTCTCCTTCTCTGTCCTGGTTCTGCTGCCTCTTTCTGTCTTACGTGTTGCAGGTCCTCTTCCCCCCCACACACGTGCCTCCTGTTAAGCCTAGCAGGATGGCAAAACTGATCAATCCCTGTGTTAGAGCTCCATAGACCTTATTTGCATGATCTCCCCCCCGCCACCCAAGGGTGCTATGTGTCATATTTACATTATTAGCGAGCTATCCAGTTTCCTTGGTAGGCTACAAACACCTCATTTGCATAGTCCCACCCAGTTATTTTGTTGGAGTTTCAAAAAAGACTCTGGCTAGAAGGGCCATGTTAAGTAATTCACTGCACTGTAGAGTGATTCTGTGAGACTGGAGATGGAGGGCCTAGGAGGTCACAGCTTTAATCTGAAATCCCCAGGCCACACAGATCTGCACTGAGCTGTGGGAGGAGATGGGTGAGCGAGGGGTGGATTGAGGCTGCTGTCCTGGTGAGAGGTGGCGGTCAGAGCAGAGATTTCGTGAGAGGCTGGTGGCATTTTGAAGGGTGTCCCTTCAGACTTGCAGAGGAGGTGTACAGGGGAGAAGGGGGCTCCTAGAGTCCAGGGCTGGAGGTGTGTGGGCTGCAGAGCCCACGCCTGTGGGCCCAGCTCTGCCCGGCTGGGTTTGAGCTAGCTGTCTGCCCTCTGGTCCTGGGGGCACCGGTGGCCATCAGGGGGCAGGTCGGAGGTTCTGGACTCTCCCTTTGTGGCAGGGGGTTGCGGAGGCCTATGCAGAATGGACAGTGGTACCTCTGTGGGGTGACTGTGGTCAGGCTGGTGTCTGGGAAGGGCCGCCGGGCCAGGCCCACAAGGAAGGTCATCCGGGAGGGGGAACAGGATCTGAGCATCGGGCAGCCACAGGAGAGGCAGTGCTTGGGGAGGCAGTCGCCCACCCTTGCCTGGCCCCATGTGTGGCATGGTGAGGCCACGGGCCTGCCTCTCAGTGTCCTCAGCTGTAACTCGAGAACACAATTGCTCTGCCTTAGTGGTCAGTGGGCATGAACTCCAGACAGCGCCTAGCGTGCAGTAAACACTCGACAAATGCCGTCATTGGGACATGTGGTACCAGGATGTGGCCTGACTGACCTGGGCCTCAGTTGCCCCACCTGTGCGGTAGAGACAACACTACCCTTCTTGAGGGTGGTTGTGAGGATTTGACATCGTGTGTGACATGGCTGGCCCCAGCGGATTTTGCAGACACTTGATACATCATAGTGGTAGTTATGATCCACCCAGGAGGCCTGCCTCAGAGTCCTTTCCCTGCCACCTTACAGCTTCCTCCCCATGGTTGGGCTTCACTTCCCTGTGTGCTTGGTAGAGGGGCCACGTCACTACCAGTCAGGGGCACGACAAGGCCCAGCACCTCATTGCTGCTTGATGTACACTATTGTTTACACCTCTATTACCTATGCCAGATCTGGGAGGGTACTGGCCTCATGGGGCTTTGAGCACCAGGCTGAGGCACTAGGACGCATCCTACCATAATGGGTACACGCCCTGATGGATTCTGAGCAGAGCGGTACCAGAATCAGAGCTGGGTATAGGGAGCACATTTGCCCTCCTCTCCCCATTGAGGTATCCCTAGCAGAGGCATTGTCCTTTCCTGGGTTCCTTTGGGCCCTGTTTAGTAGCTGTTGTCCTGGGCGGGGCGAGGAGCGGTAGGTCACATGTGTGCATATGCACGTGTATGTGTGTGTATAGCAAGCATCCAGGCAATGGCCACAGCCTGGAGACGTCACAATCCCCCCCACCCCACCCACACACCACGCCCCTGCCTTGCACATGACTTTGGGTGTTCACTGGGCCAGGCAGTAGCTGGGTTAGCCATCACAGGGCATCTGAATTTGCTTAGCAAATACAGATGGAAGCTAATTGGTGCTGAGGGGGAGCCAAAGGTTCCAGGCCTGCCCCACCCAGATGTGGGGCCGTGGGAGTGGGCCTCATGGAAGCACAGGGCTCCCACTCACTCTGCCAGTGATGCTTGAGGGTACTCCCTGTGTGCGGGCCATACCCAGGACTGTTTGCCTGGTCTCGGGGAACATAAGGAAGGTGGGATGGTCAGCCTGGGAGTGACATGACCCTGGGCTGTGGGAAGGCTGCTGGAGGCTGTCGCAGTGGTCCAGGCGGAAGGTGCTGTGGCAGGGTGAGGGGAGGTGGATGAGCTGGAAGAGGCCGAGGTGGCAGCGAGGCCTCCTGGGTGTGGTCATGGGGAGCCTAGGCAGGCCCAGGCCCAGGTGGGAGGCCTAGTGGGTCCAAGGGCCTCTGGGCCCCCAGGCAGGGACAACAGCTTGTCAGGTTGGAACTGGTTTGGGAAGAGATGCCTGATGTGTACTTCCAGTGGGTATCAGTGGGTGGTATCCAGGCAGTCCGTGGACGTGTCCACCCCCCAACCTGGCCTGGTGCCCTCAGGGCGCCATGTTCTGGAAGTTTGACCTGCACACAAGCTCGCACATTGACACGCTGCTGGAGCGGGAGGACCTGAGCCTGCCTGAGCTGTTGGATGAGGAGGACGTGCTGCAGGAGTGCAAGGTTGTGAACCGCAAGCTACTTGACTTCCTGCTGCAGCCACCCCACCTGCAGGCCATGGTGGCCTGGGTCACCCAGGAGCCACCGGCCAGTGGTGAGGAGCGCCTGCGCTACAAGTGAGTTCTCCCTCGCCCTGGTATACTTCCTGTCCTTGGGGCGTCAGGCCCCTACAGGGCCATCATGAACTGGGCCCTTGCTCCCAGTATGCCCCCCGGGTTCTTGGGGTGTCAGGTCCCTGCAGGGACATCATGAACCCCCAGTGTCCCCAGTGCGCCCCCCTGGATCCTAGGGTTGTCAGGCCTTTACAGGCCATCATGCTCACTTCCTGGGCACCTGCCGTGTGCCAGCACGGTTCTGAGCAGTTCACGTGTGTTCGGTCTTGTACGCCCCCCAGCACCCTGGGATGTGGGTGGCATCATTAGCTCAGGTGTTTAAGGAAGAGCGGGGAGGAAATGAGCCTGGAAAGTCACTAGGGGTGGGGCCAGGACAAGCTGGAGGCAGGGACGGAGAGAGAGAAGGAAGCCCCAGCTGGGGCTGGGCTGGGCTGTGGGGGGCATGAAGGATTCCTTCAGATGGTAGAGTGGCCAGGGGTGAGGAATAGATGGAGGTCAGACCACGAAGGGGCTGAGATCCAGCTGGGGAGGTTGGATGCCATCTTGGCGTGATGTGAGCTGTGGCCGGGCTCAAAGCAGGCAGTGACCAGGCTGGTGTTAGAGGACTCCTGGGCCTTGAGGGAGTGGGGGGTGCAGGAAGCAAGAGGAGTCCAGAGGGGAGGCAGGGCCGGGTCAGGGAACTTCTGGGGCGAGAGGGCAGGACCTGTTGACTGAGCTGGTGGTGTGGGGCCAGGGACGGGAGGATGGCCTCTTTCACCCCCCACCCCTAACCTGTGCCCTCATCAGGCCTTGCTGCACACCCCTACACCTCTGCCTGCCTCTCCTGGACATGGGCCCCCTAGTCTCCTCTGAGCCTGCCAAAGGCTGGACCCAGGGCCACGGTGGATGGAGCCTTGGTGGGTGTGAGGGACAGGGTGGCTCGTGTGCCCAGCTCCCCCCACTGAGCCAGTGCCCTCCCCAGGTACCCGAGTGTGGCGTGCGAGATCCTGACCTCAGACGTGCCCCAGATCAATGATGCCCTGGGTGCTGATGAGTCCCTCCTAAACCGGCTCTACGGCTTTTTGCAGAGCAGCGGCAGCCTCAACCCGCTGCTGGCCAGCTTCTTCAGCAAGGTCATGGGCATCCTCATCAACCGCAAGACGGACCAGGTGCCCCTCACCTCCTGCTGTGCTGACCATCGCCCCACTGCTGTGGGAGCCCTGGGGAGGCTTGGGCCACCCGCAGCACCGTGACTTGTCTCCCTGTGCCCCCAGCTCGTGTCCTTCCTGCGCAAGAAGGACGACTTTGTGGACCTGCTGCTGCAGCACATTGGCACTTCGGCTATCATGGACCTGCTGCTGCGGCTGCTCACCTGCGTGGAGCGGCCCCAGCTGCGGCAGGACGTCGTCAATGTGAGCCACCCTGATGCATGCCCACCCCATTCCCTGTGGGCCCACCACACCCTTGCCCTGCCTCCCTGTGCTCCACCCCATGTGTGCTCCACAGGGCCCCGCACCCCACCCCTCCCTGGCCCTTGCTCTTGGCCCCGGGCTTCTGCATCTGTGACACAGGGAGGATGACCAGAGGTGGTGGGGGGTGAGATGTCAGGCAGGGCCCAGGGAGTGACAGACAGTTAATCCTGGTCTTCTAACCCTCAGTGGCTCAATGAAGAGAAGATTGTCCAGCGGCTGATTGAGCTGATACACCCCTCTAAAGACGACAATGTGAGTGCCCAGACAGCCTCTCCTCTCTCCTGGGCCCTTGCAGTAGCCGCCTCCCAGTCTCCCAGCCTTTTCCCTTTACACACGTTTCACACCAGCTTTATCCAGTCTCCCCCCTTAACTAATGACAAAGGAAGCATTTAAAACCGTTGCCTGCTCATCGCAACACCATAGGACAGAGTAGAACTGCCCCATAGGATTTCAAGCTGGTAGATTTGAACTGCTGACCTTTGGTTAGAAGCTGAGCTCTTAACCACTGTGGTACCAGGGCTCCAAGGAAGTGTTTAGGGCCACACATATCTGTGTACTTCTACCACGTGGAAGAGAAAAGGGGTTCTGCACAGGAGATGTTTCTTTCATAAACCAGAAAGTTGACAAAGTTTAACCCCTTGAGGGGCAAGGGCCTGACTAGCGTCCCAAATCCATTGCCATTGGGTCAATTATGACTCAGCAACTAGCTTCCCAAAAGACCCTTAACTCTGGACTCCGACCTCTTCCTCATGGGCCTGGAACTCTTCTGAGGTCCCGCCTGCCCGCCCACACCCCACCCACCCGTGCTGACCCCAGTCCAGGCGTCTCACTGCTCCCCCTGCAGCTGCTTACCATGGCGTGCAGTGCATCCCACGTTTCCCCAAAGCCAGGCTGGATCTGCCTTCCCACCTTGGCCTGTGCTGGCTCTCGTGGCCTGGGCTGCCCTTTCCTCATCTCTGCCAGGTGAACCCCTGTGTGGCCTACAGAGCCTCCCCATCCTTGATGTTCCTCCATGATGATTCGTCTGTTCTCCTGGCCTCGGGTCTGGCCCGCCTATGTGCCTCAGTGCCTCGGAATCCTGCAGCCCCCTGAGGCCATGTGTCCCTTCACCAGCCTTGGCCTCCATGTGGCCCACAGGCCTGCAGAGCAGGGACCCGACTCCCTGGGTACCCTTGCATCCAGGCTCCACAGCTGGTCCCTGGCCCTGCCTGTCTACTTTCAGCCTGTGGGCTGGAAGGTTGCCTGTTCAGGCCTCTTCTGCAGGCAGGAGTGGGCATCTGCCATGAGCAGGCACTGTCCTAGTGCCGTGTGCTTGTGGGGGTTCTAAAGCACAACTGGGACCTCGCGTGGGGGCCACGGCAGCACTGTGGACTGGATTCGGACTTCCATCACACTTCTCTTAGTTTTTGTAACAGCTTTGTTGAGCTATGACTCCCATACCACAGAACTCACGCACGTAAAACGTCAACGTAGTGGTTTCTACTGTGTCCACAGGGTTGTGCAGCCACCACCACAATCAGTGTTAGAACACTTTTCGTCACCCGAAAAAGAAATCCTGTGCCCATTAGAAGCACCTCCTATTCTCTCCATTCCTCCAGCCCCTGGCAGCCACCCATCTGCTTCCTGTTTCTATGGACTTGCCTGTTCTGGACGTTTCGTGTAAATGGACTCATTGAATCGTGGTCTTCCATGCCTGGCTTATTTCATTCGGCATAGTGTTTTCAAGGTTCACTGATGTCATAGCAGCTATCAGAACTCCATTTTTTTTTAATAGCGGAGTAGTATTCCTTTGTACAGATAGACCACATTTTGTTTATCCATTTGTTTGCTGATGGGCACTTTTGGCAGTTGCGAGTAGTGTTGCTAGGAGCATGTATGTACAGGTTTTTTGTGGAATGCTTCTTTTTCTAAGAAGCCTTACTTGATTTCCTTCCTCTCTGCTCATCTTCCCCCCATGGGTGTGTGAGGTGACTCTGTAGCCCCTCCTTGTAGCACTTGCACCCCTGGTTCATTTGTCCCTCTTCCCCGGTGCTTAGTAAACTGCAAGTGAGCCATTTCCGTGTCCCTGAGGAGCCAGGAAAGAATGCCTGGGTCCCTGGGGCAGTCTGGGCTGGGACCAGTGGATCAGCTCGGACCAGGGTCCTTACCTCTGCCCCTCCCCCAGCAACATTCCAACGCGTCCCAGTCCCTGTGTGACATCATCCGCCTGAGCCGAGAGCAGATGATCCAGGTGCAGGACAGCCCAGAGCCTGACCCGCTGCTGAGCACCCTTGAGAAGTACGTTTGCCGGGATGAGGGGCGGCAGGATGGCCTGGAGGGACTTGGGCAGCCTGGTCTCCATCTCACCATCTCATCACCCCAGGCAGGAGACAATTGAACAGCTCCTGAGCAACATGTTTGAGGGAGAGCAGAGCCAGTCTGTCATTGTCAACGGGATCCAGGTGCTGCTGACGTTGCTGGAGCCCAGGAGGCCCAGGTGAGGGCAGCCCCGAATGTGGGTATGCGAATCTCCCACTCCCCTCCCCTGAACCTCGGGCTGCCCTCCGTTCACGGGGTTAAAGGCTGCGGCATCTGCCCTGTGAAGTTGTTGTCCAGTGTCATGTTGTGCGTTGCCAGTCCACGGTGACCCCATCCCTGGCAGCTGCTCCTGTTACTGTTCATAGAGGTCATCCTAGTCCTGGGGCTTTGTCTTCCTGCCCCAGTTTTACAAACAAGAAAACTGCATTTGAGCCCACTGCCTGCAGCTGCTGAGTGGTAGGGTTAGGGTCTGCTCTCCCGCCTCTACTGGCAGTGGAGGCTTCTTATAGAACCCAGACTCCCAGGCCTCCAGGCCTCCATGAACCGTGCACTGCAGCCGATCACATCCAGCTGGGCGTCTCCCTCCCGCTGCTGACCTGCAGACCCTTCCATCAGGCAGTGAAGCCTTGTGGTCCCACACCAGAGGGTTGTGGGCATGAAGGATGAGCCACCCAGCCCCTCGTGAGCCCAGCTTGGGGCAGCCACTGCCCTTTGATTCTGTCCCCTGCTATAGGTCCGAGTCCATGACCATGAACAACTTCTTCTGCAGTGTGGACGGGCAGCTAGAGCTACTGGCCCAGGGCACCCTGGAGAGCCCTGCATCTAGCATTGGTGCCCTGCATGCCCTGCGGCCACGGCTCAGCCACTTCCACCGGCTGCTGCTCGAGCCGCCCAAGGTGGGCTGGGTAGGCGGGCCTGGGTGCCAGGAGGAGGTGTGGCAGGAGGGGATCTGAAACTGAGCCTCCTGTACCCCTGCAGCTGGAGCCGCTGCAGACGACGTGGGGCAGCCTGGCCCCTCCACTGGGGAACACACGGCTACATGTGGTCAAGCTCATGGCCAGCGCCCTGAGCACCAATGACATGGCCCTGACGCAGGAGCTCCTGGCACTGGACGTGCCCAACACCATGCTGGTACAAGGACAGGCGCAGGGCCAGGGTGGGGTGGGGTGGGGGGCTGGGACGGAGGGGCGCCTGGGGATGAGGACCGCACCTCTCTGGGTGCCAGCCTGCAGGTGCTTTTGTGTCCTCTCCTGCCCCCCCAGGATCTCTTCTTCCACTATGTCTTCAACAACTTCCTGCATACCCAAGTGGAAATGTGTGTGAGCGCAATGCTGAGTGCAGGGCCCCCTCCTGACAGCAGCCCTGAGATCCCTGTCCCTAACCCTGTCGTCAAACATGTGAGTGGGGCCGTGGAGCGGAGGCGTGGAATATGGGGAGGGGGAGGGCCTCACCGCCACCACAGGGCCCTCCAGATACGCCCCCCCCCCCCCCCCGTCTTCTCCAAGAAGGCCACTCCGTCCTGCCGTTCAGCACTTGGCCCAGACTATGGGCTGGGGGCATGTGTCCTTGGGGCATGTGTCCTCAGGACACTTTCATTGTTGTTGGGGAAAAAAGACAGTGACACGTAGGGAGGTACTGAGCAGGGTGAGCGGGGTGATAGATTTGAAGAAGATGCACGAAGGAGAGGTGATCGAGGGCAAGGTGAGCAGGGTTCTCTGAGAGGATGACTCTAGAGGAGATGAGGGGCCGAGGGGTCGTGTGTGCGTGAATGTACACGAGTGAGTGTGTTTGTATGGGTCTCTCCAGAGAGAAGTGCACTGGCCCTGCGTATGCGAACCCTGCGGCCTGCGCGCACTGACTTCCTCCCATGGGCTCAAGTTTGGGTTTGCTCTCTTGGATCCTGCCCTTCCTCCTCGCTGAGGTGCCAACCCCCTTCTCCCATAGCTGCTGCAGCACTGCCGCCTGGTGGAGCGCATCCTGACATCCTGGGAGGAGAACGACCGTGTGCAGTGAGTGTGGTGCCTCCCTGCTATATGTGTTTGTACACGTGTGTGTGTGCTTGTGTGTGTATGTGTGTGTGTGGTGTAGGGGGCTGGAGGGGCCAGGCGGGGATGTGTGCATGTGTGCTTGTGTGTATGATGTGGGGGGCCAGAGGGGCCAGGCGAGGCTGTGCCCCGCACCCAGCTGAGTCTCTGCTTTGCCCAGGTCCAGAGGAGGCCCGCGGAAAGGCTACATGGGCCACCTCACGCGGGTGGCCAACAGTTTGGTGCAGAATGCGGAGAAGGGGCCCAACGTTGAGCAGCTGGGGCAGCTGCTGAAGGGTGAGGGGCCTGATGGGATATGTGGGGAGGCATGGGGCACCCCATTACCCCTCAGGGCTGAGCTTCCTGTGGGGAGGCCGCGGGCCCCTCACGGCCTCGTCACCCTCACAGCCTCGTCCCCCTCACGGCCTCGTCCTGTCCCCGAGCAGAGCTGCCCGAGGAGCAGCGGGAGCAGTGGGAGGCCTTCGTGGCGGGGCCGCTGATGGAGACCAACAAGAAGAACACAGTGGATCTGGTGTGCCTTGTGGCCTTCCCATGTCCCCCTCACCTCCTGCACCTGGTGCTCTCCTGGGCCCTGAGCTGGCAGAGCCTCTCTCTGGGCCTCCTCAAGTCTGTGGTGCGGGTGGGCCGGGCCTGTCCCCTCTTGCTGTTTCCCTCCTTCCCAGCTCAAGCTCCCCTCCTCCCAGCTCCCTACCCACAGCTGCCGGCCCCCTGCCCCATAGCTGCCTGCCTGTACTTCCTTCTCACCCCTCATCCTGGGCCCTAGGCAGGCCCTGACGTGCCTGCCCACCACCAGGTGAGCACCCACCCCCTGCACTCCTCCAGCGATGACGAGGACGACCGGCTGAAGGAGCTCAGCTTCCCTGAGGAGGCTGTGCTGCAGCAGGTGGGCTCGGGCTGAGGACCCTGGGCTCTCCTTGTCCTGCCCCGGCAGCCCCTGACCATGCTCCCCCCACTTCCCACAGGCCTTCATGGATTTTCAGATGCAGCGCATGACGTCAGCCTTCATCGACCATTTTGGCTTCAATGATGAGGAGTTTGGGGAGCAGGAGGAGAGTGTGAAGTAAGTGCCTCCATGCCTCCGCCTCTCTGACCCAATGCTTCAGGGCAGCCCTGAATTGGGATCCTACCCGCATGTCGGTGCTGTGAGGCCCAGGCCCTCGTGTCTTTTCAAAGCTCCAAAAGTGGCTCCTTTGTCCATCTTCAGGGCAGTCAGAGGAAGCCAATTGTACCAAAGCTCTTGGGTCTCTGTGCCTGGTCATTTTCTAGAAGATTCATACCTGACCAGTCACCTCCCATTCACCAGCACCGCATAATCTCATTAAAGTACAAATGTGACAACTACTATGGTGCTTAGCTACCATTACTAAACATTTTGATCCAACATTCTGTAAAAGAATCGAAAAGGGGAAAATGGCAGAACAAAATTTCAAATTCTCATGAAGCCGTAGAGGCTGGATGAACCTCCAAAACTATTGCCCTGAGATACTCTTTAATCAGAATTATTCTCTGAAATCTTAAAAACCAAACAGTGGTTTAGCTTAAGTAATAAAGAATGTCTACCTTGAGCGTTGTGCTCTTTTAAGGTTTATCTGTGTGGGAACAGGAAACCCTGGTGGCGTAGTGGTTAAGTGCTATGGCTGCTAACCAAAAGGTCGGCAGTTTGAATCCACCAGGCACTCCTTGGAAACTCTGTAGGGCAGTTCTCCCCGTCCTGCAGGGTCGCTGTGAATCGGAATCGACTCGACGGCGATGGCTGGTGGTGGGTTATGTGGGATCAGATTGACAACAGCAACTTGAAAGATTCAGTGGGAAGCTTAGGGGGCAGTGAGTTAATGGGGGAGGAATAGCTCAGAAAAGGAGAGTGAGAATGATTGCACAACTGGAAGAATGTAATCAGTGTGGCTGAATTGTACACGTAGAAATGGTAGAATTGGTATATATTCTGCTGTATAGGTTCTCAACAACAGCAACAAAATAAAAATAAATAAATGGAAAAAATGACGATTACTACAAAGCACGCCCTCATCTTGGCAAGTGAGAAGGCTCCTCTTGCGTTTCCACATTGTTTTCTAGTTAGGTTGAGTGTAGCTGCAGTGGGTGTAACAGGAGGCCGAGCCGGGGAGGGGGCATAATAGGAGCGTAGTGAGTGAGTGCTGAGTGAGGGGAAGGAGAGGAGGCCTGTTGGTGTGCGCTCTCCTCTGATGTCCCTCCCACCTGCGCCTGGACTCATGCTCCCCTGCCTTCCCCTGCAGTGCACCTTTTGACAAGACAGCTAATATCACCTTCTCCCTCAATGCCGATGACGAGAATGTGAGTGCAGTCCTGTCCCCTGGTGGTGGTGGGTGGGGGAGGATTGCAGACAGTGCAACCCACCTTGGTTGCCCTCCCCCTCAGCCCAACTCCAACCTGCTTGAGATCTGCTACAAGGACCGCATCCAGCAGTTCGACGATGACGAGGAGGAGGAGGACGAGGAGGGCCAGGGCTCGGGGGAGTCGGACGGCGAGGACAGTGCCTGGCGGGGCGGCCAGCTGCCCAGGGGGGCCCGCCTTGGCCAGCACCAGAGCATCCGGTGAGTTGGCTGAGGCCTTGCCTCCTTGGGTGGGAGGCCCTGGCGTCAGCCCTCTGGGGTCTAGGTCATCAGTGTGGCCACATGGCGGGTGTCCCAGAGCCATATGGGCAGGGCCACTTGTAATAGTTGTTGCCAGCTGAAGTGAACAGAGAAAAATAAGAATGGTGTTTCAGTTGGGGCGTTTTGAGTTTTACAAACCCAGTTCCAATGAGTTATACTTTGTTGTTTTTTGCTGTTGAGTTGACTTTATCAAAGTAGAGCATGCGTGCGGAAAAGTGTACAAATCACAGCATGTAGCTCGGTGGCCACCCCTCTGCCAGTGCCAGGTGCTGCCAACACTCTCTGCCCCTACTGCCTCCACCCTCCCCTGAGGGTCACCACAGGTGAATTTTGCCTGTTTTCCCACTCGATGTAAATGGAGCCCCACAGTGTCTGCTCTTGTGTCTGGTTACTGTCGCTCACCCCTCTGCTCGGGAGGTCCATCCTGCTGTTGAGGTGGTTGGGGTCCACTTGTTCCTCTTGCCACACAATTGGTGTGGTGTTGTGTGACTGCGCCCAGTTGACTTGTACCTTCAGTTCTTGCCTGGCCCTTGGGTAGATTTCTGTTGTTAGCTGTTGTGAGCAGGACTACCATGAGCATTCTAGTGTGGGTCTTTGGTATGTGTACATGTAAATTTCTTTTGGGCATACACCTAGGTATATGGGTGTATAAGGAGCCCTGGTGGCACAGCAGTTAAGCACTTGACTACTGACTAAAAGGTCTGCTCCCGTAAAGATTACAGCCAGGAAGCACTATGGGGCAGCTCTGTTCTGTCACATGGGGTTGCTGAGTCAGAATCGACTCAGTGGCAAACAACAATATATATGTATTTAAGGTTGGAGGTTTGAGTTCACCCATAGGTGCCTCAGAAGAAAGGCATGGTGATCTACTTCCAAAAAATCAGCCATTGAAAACCCTGCGGAACATAGTTCTATTCTGGCACACATGGTGGTGTGCCATGAGTTGGAATCCACTTAAGGGCAACTAGTTTGGTTTTATATAACTAGGAGCTGGATTGCAGGGTCACTGGTTAAGATACAGCCAAAGAGGTTTCTGGGGGCATTTTGTCAATTCAGACTCCCATGGTGGGGTCTGAGTGTGCTGGTTGCTGCGTGCCCTCGCCCACACTTGGTGCTGTGTGTGTGTTTGATCTTATGTGTCCTGATGACTGTGTAATGGTGTCACCGTGGGGTTTCCCACGTGCCCTTCCCTTACCACAGAGAGGTTGGGTGGCATGTTCTGTGATCTCTGACCAGTTGGACATCCTCTTCTGTGAAGTGGCTGCTCAAGTCTCTGTGGGGCTGGTGGGTTTTGTTTTTTTCTTGTGGCAGGTTTATTGAGGAATAATTTGGAGACAGTAAGAGGCACACTTTGTGGCACACAGTTCTACAGATTTTGACAAAGCCATGGAATTGCCACCACAGATAGAGAACCACGCTGCCACCCCCAAAAATTCCCTGCACCCTAGGCAGTCAGCTCTCTTCCTGCGCCCCTCAGCCTCTGGCAGTCATGGATTGTTTTCCGTGTGGGGTTTGTGTTTTAAATCATACTCTTCTTTGTCCTTTGCTTCTTCAATTATGTAATAATCATCCACAAAATACAAAAAAACTGATGATTATGATCATTTCCAGGGAGTGAATCTGGGCGTCTAGGGAGGGATAAAGACTTGGGCTTGTATACTCTCTTGTACAGCTTGAGTTTCCCTTTTTATTTAAAAAAGAAAAAAAATTTTTTTTTTGTAGCAGCTTTATTGAGATATAATTCACCCACGTAAGAGGTACACTTCAGTGGTTTTCAGTATCTTCAGAGTTCTGCAGCCATCACCACAGTTGATCTTAGAACATTCTCGTCATCTCAGAAAGATCTCTTGTGTCCTTTTGCAGTCACTTCCCTAATCCACTTTCTGTCCCTGTGTCGTCGTTAGTTGCCGTTGAGTTGATTTCAGTTCATAGTGACCCCATGTGACAGAGCAGAACTGCCTCATAGGGTATTCTTAGCTGTAGTCTTTACAGGAGCGGATCACCAGGTCTTTCTCCTACAGAGCTGCTGGGTGGGTTTGAACCACTAACGTTTCAGTTAAAGTCCAGGCACTTAAGCGTTGTGCTACCAGGGTTTCTGTGGATTTGCCTTTTTTTGACATTTAATATAAATGGGGTCATTCGCTATGTGGTCTTTTGTGTCTTATGTCTTTCATGTGTGGACGGACCATGTTTTGTTCATCCGTTCATCTGTTGGTGGACACTTGGGTTCTCCTGGGTGTCCTCACACACACACACCCCTGCTGTTCTCACAGGGCTGGGATACCTGGGAGGCCCTCTCTCAGACTCTGCTCCTTGTCTTCCCATCCCTTTCACTGTGTGTCAGCTCATTCCCAGGGGAGATATGGGGCTCTGCCCCGCCCTCGAGAGGCAGGTGGTCTGATGACAGTGGTTGGGGGCATCTTTCCCTCCCTCAGTGCCCAGCACAGTGGCTAACGAGGGGGTTTCTGGGGCAGGAGCGGGGGCAGCACAGACAGTGAGGAAGATGATGATGAGGAAGAGGAGGAGGACGACGAGGAGGATGCCGATGGCCACGGCCACATGGCCAGGGGTGGGGCCGGTGCCCCCTCCTACCCGAGCCCCAGCCCTCAGCCTGTGGCACCACCACCCCAGGGTGAGTGGAGTGAGGCGGGTGGGGTCGGTGGAACCCAGTCCCCTCCAGTGCTCACCCTTCCTCCTCCTCCAGGCCGCGGCTGGATGGCCACCTTTGACCCAGTGCCTACTGAAGCCCCTACAGGCCCCCGTGTCTCCGGGGGCAAACAGCCCGGGCCCACGGCCCCCCAGGGGCCTCACGATGGCCCCCAGGGCCCACTTGCCCTGAGCCTGGCTGTCCTTCCAGCCAGCGAAGGCCTGCAGGTTAGGTGAGGATGCAGTGAGGAGCCTGGGCAGAGGGTGGGGGGCAGCGCCCTGCCTGAGCAGCAGCCTCACCTCCAACTGCCCACCTCCTTCCAGGTCTAAGGACCCTGCAGCCCCTTTAGCACCTCAGGAAGCCTCTGCTTATGGCGGTGTCGCAGAGCCTGTGGGTGAGGAGCACCTCCACACCATCCTCCGCCCTGCTGTCCCCTGTCTTGCGCCTCCCCCTTTGCACCTTCCCCCTTGCAGGTACCTCACTGCTTCTTCCTCTCCTCCTGCTACAGCCCCCTGCCAGGCCTTGGTCAGCGTCGGGGACCTCCAGGCCACTCTCAGCAGGATGCACGGCACCCCCAGCTCCTTAGACAGGTGACAGGCTAGGTGCCATCAGGGGTAGGATGGTGCCAGGTCCTCCCTGGTTGACGTGGGGCCTGTTTTGTCCACCCAGAGCTGCTCAGACTGTCGAGGCCCATTGTCTCTGCCTCAGGGACTGCTTGTCGCCCTCCACCCGCCCCCAGTTCCTGTCCCTGAACCTCATAGGGCTGTGCCTCTGTCAGTGACGGGGTGGCTAGATGGTGGTATTGGGCGGGGGGCTTTCAGAAGGGTAGGGGAGACTGGTCAGAAGGGGCGGGCCCACAAGAGGAAGAGAGGAGAGCAGGAAGAGGTTGTCTCTGTCAGCATCCACAGGGGTTGGTGTGCCACATGGCACCTGCGATGCCCTGGGCCTGGGATGCAGGCTCCTATGGGGGCCAAGGGCTGAGTGGGCTAGGGTGGAAGGCTTATTTGATGCTGTCAGGGTTCCTCACGCCCACGACTGTGCCCCAGACGAGCGCCCCGACCAACACAGGATGTACAGGTACCTGCAAGGGGCATTGAGCGTCAGTGACTTCCCCTCTCCTCCCTCAGTGCAACCAGAGACCCCTCTACCTCTGTCCCAGCCACCCGGGCCCAGCAGCCCCCCGAGACCACCGAGGGGGAGAAGAATCCAGCGCCCTTGGGGCTACCCCAAAGCCAGAGGTGAGCAGTAGTGTGGCCAGTGGGGTGGACAGGGTCCATGTGGGCATAAGGTGACCCCTGCTGTCCTTTGCCCTACAGCGCCCAGCCCCTCCAGCCGCCTCTGATGCCCAATGGCTCCACTCTGGATGGGCCTGTGGCCCCGGGCTCCCAGTGAGTGTGATTAGGGTGGCACCACGGGGGCAGGTGGGTGGCTGGTGGGCTTTCCCAGGCTCCCAGTGAGTGTGGCTGTGCCAGAACCACGGGGGCAGGCGAGTGGTGGGTGGGTGTTCCCAGGCCCCCAGTGAGTGTGGCTGCACTGGGACCCCGGGGAGCAGGCAGGTGGCGGGCAGATATCTCCCAGTTCCCACTGAGTGTGATGTCCCAGGGCTCACCCAGTGTCTCTCTCTATTCTAGGTGACTGCCTGGTCCTGGTGGTGGCGGGCGGTGGTGGCCATAGCGCCCATACTCCCGTGGACTTGGCCTGGGGTGGGGGCAGGGCCGGGTCCCGGGCCCCCACCCCACCCCCACCCCATCAACCCCCACCCACATTCTCTCTCCGGGCTCCCAGGAGCTGGTGCCCGAGGGAGACCGCCCACCCCATCCCAGTTTGCACTGAAAATTGATGGAGCTTTGCCTCCTAGAATAAAAATATAGAGAGTTGTCTAGAGAGCGAGGAGAGAGAGACCTATATTATATATTATATATATATATTGTGGAGGAGAGGAAGGGCACCTGGGTGGGGCAGGCACCTGGGGGACATCAGGCTCCGAAGCACAACCTTACCCCATACTACTGTCCTGTCCCGGCAAGGCCAGTGGGGGGTGGCCTCACCACATGCAGACAGCGTCCCTGTCCCTTCTGTGAAGCGAGGGCCTAGCACCTCCCCCAAACAGACGCCACCCCCCCCCACACACACACACACCTGGTCTCTGAGCTCAGGGCCTCCTGAGGGGAAGCTGAGAGGGTGGGGGAATTTGGGGGCTGGGGCAGGCCGTGCCTTTGCTGAGCCCTCTCCCAGCCCTGCACTGTCACCTGGTCTGGAAACCCAAGGGCTCTGCTGGGGACGGGGGTGGGGTCTCATACGTGGAGGGGCTCTGTAACATTCCCTTGGGGCCACAGGTACCCTGGCGACACCCAACTCCCTCCCTCTCTGGCCTCTCCCTGCCCCGGGTGGGGGTCTGGCTGGGGGCCCCCCCCATCCCAAGTGTCTGGGGCTCCAGCCCCAGCTGCCAAGTGACCTTGTCCCAGCGTCCTGTCCCCAAGCGAGCTGCGTGAGTGGTGTGTGTCTGTGCGAGCTTTATTTCATATTGCAAATACAATAAAGGAAACCATTGACAACTGCTGGTGCTGCAGGCTAAGTGAGGGGCGTGGGGCAGGACTGAGCGAGCTGCTCACAGTGGTTCCCCCTGGGGCCACAAGATCCCTGCTCCCTCTCCACCACGCAGCCCTGGGTGTCTGGGCAGTGGACCTCATTAGGAATTATGTCCCCAGTCCTCCACTGGGGGTGGGGGGGACAACTGCCCAGAGCAGGAAAGGCTTTCCCTGGGAAGGAAGTGACCCCAGCACCCTCCTCAAGCTCAGGCTGAGTCCTGGCACCTGGTCTTGGGTGACTGCCAGTCCTACATGTCCCTGTCACACGATGCAGGCTTGGAGCCACACAGCTGAGGGACGCACGTCCCCCACAGGCAAGGAATAAAGCCCCATGTGGCACAGGAGTGGTGGCCTCAGTTTCCTTCCAGGCCCCAGTACGCCCTGCTGCATTGTGGGGCTTGTTGATGGCTGGGACGTCCCAGCCCCACGACTGCACAGCTGGTGACTGCTCCAAGCCCGTGTTCCCCTCCAGTAACGTGGGGCCACCTGCCTGACTTAGGTTGCGAGCTTGCCCCGTTCACCACCTGTGCTGCGTGTTGAGGCACCGCCAGGTGCAAATGGGGGCCGCTGTTGGTGTTCTTTGAAAGCCTGAGACTAGAGAAGACAAGGGTTGCTGCAGGGTCAGTGTGGAAACCTCAGTCTTGGTCGTACCCATGTGCAGGCCGGCCCTGGTAACCAGTGTCCTCACGATCCTTGAGGAGAAGGCCCCCCGAGGCCCACAAGAACGGCTGCAACTAGCTCTGTCACTCTTATCTGTTCTCCCTGTTTGTCCATTCCTTCCTTGAATACTTGTAGGGGGCTGTCTGGGGCTGTGGGCTGAGAGGGCATTGGGGATGATGGACGGGGTTCTGAGGACGGTGGGCCTCACTGGGGGGCCTGCACTTGCTCCCCGGGGCAGTGAGTGGAGAGGGGTCAGCTCTGCCAGGCACCGTCCTTGCTGGCAGTGTGACTGCCTGTGTGCTGAGCACTATGATTGCACCCCACTGTACCCCAGTGGAAGGACCTGGGAACACTGCCCCCTGTCTTCATATTGACTGGGAACGAGACAGTGGGGTTTATACCCCACTGCCCCCCAGCAGAGAGGAGGAGGAGGTGACCAGGCAGAGGTGGAGTGCGGGTGCAGGAGGGGGAGGGATCACTGGGTCCTACTGGGCACCTTATCAGCCAGTGCCAGGCAGGGCTGTGTCAGGACTGGGGGTGGCATCTCCCTCGGCCTTCTTATCAGCCCCAGAGTCCACAGGACGCTCCTCCGGGTTAACGTGTAACCATGTGCCCTCCCCTTCACCCCCCAAAGCCACCAGCGCCCAGGCAGAGGTGACGGGGGGTGTTAGAGACCAGCATGGACACCAGGGGAAGGGGGACACCCCAAGAGCCTGGCCTTGCAGCCCACGTGAGAGTCCTTGGGGGGAGTGGGGGAACAGGGGATGGGGTCTTATAGACAGGCTGGAGGCTGAGGGGCCCTTGATTGAGGAATTGGCTGGTGTCCTGCCCTCCTGAAGGGCCAGGGCCCTAGTCCTGGACAGGTAGGAGGCCTGGTGATGGCAGCGGGTGGGCGGGAGCCCCCACACCTGGATCTTGCCCCAGATGAGTCCAGGGCCTAGGGGATCTGGAGTGGTAGGTCCTGGCAGCGTTGGGTGGACTGAGACCCCCTGAGAGGCAAGGGTGGTCTGGAGCGTGATTCTGGAGCTCAGCGGCCCTCCCTCTGTTACCCCCAAGACCACTCACATCGCCAGGTGGCTCAGTCCCTTCTTCCTCACCTGCACTGTCTACTTTCTCCTCTGGATCCCCAAGGACCCGCCATCCCCGCTTGGCGCCCTGGTCAAATGCCTGCCTGTGCTCAGCCTGGCTGTGAGCCTGTGGGCTGTGTCCCCCAGCAGCGGCTACACTGCTCTCCTTCAGGGAGCCCTGCTGTGCTCAGCTGTGGGGGACATCTGCCTCATCTGGCCTGACGCCTTCCTGTATGGTGAGTGGGCTGCATCGTGACACTTCTTGCAACTAATTTAAGACGCTGTATGGAGTTGAGAAGCACTGGGGTTCAGGGGAGACTTCTTGGTAGAGCACCTACCACTAGCTGGGTGATGAGTGGGGTTCAAACGCAGCAATGGCCAGGAGAGACAAAACTCCCTGCCCTCATGGGGCTTGTGTTCCAGTGTGGAGGCCAGAGGGTATGACGTTAGGGGGTGGTAAGTGGGATGGAAGGAGCCCTGGTGGCACAACAGTTAAGCACTCAGCTGCTACCTGAAAGGTTGGTGATTCGAACCCACCTAGCAGCTCCATTGGAGAAAGACCTGGTGATCTGTTCCCATAAAGATTACAGCCTAGGAAACCCTACGGGGCAGTTCTCTGTCACATGGGTTGCTATGAGTCAGAAACAATTCAATGGCATACAACAACAAGAAGGAGCATGGAGAATGAAGATTGACCCAAGGATGGGGTTGGTCTGCAGTGTTAGATATAGTGGTCAGGAGTGACCTCCACGAGAAGGTAGCATTTGGGCAAAGTCCTGAAGGAGCGGAGGGAGCCAACCGTGGGCATATCTGGGGGTAGGGCCTTCCAGGCAGAGAGAACAGCATGTGCAAAGGCCCTGAGGTAGGCGCAGTCCTGATGAGTCTGTCTAAAGAGGTGGCTGGGGCAGAGGGTGTGGGCCTTGTAGGCCACGGTCAGTAAAGACAGTTGAGTGCGCTCTCAGGGTGCCATGGGTGTGGGTGGAGGGTTTTGAGCAGAGGAAGGACACGATTTGGTGTGCATTTTAAGATTGCCCTGACTGTTGTAGGTTCCTGGGTGGTGCCAAGAACCATTGGGGTTCAAACCCACCCAGGAGCTCCACAGAAAAAAGTTCTGATGATCTGTTTCTGTAAAGATTATAACCAAGAAAACCCCATGGAGCAGTTCTACTCTGACACACGTGGGGTTGCCATGAGTCAGAACTGACGGCAACAGTTTTTATCTTGGTTTTTCTGACTGCTGTGTTGAAAACTGACTGGGAGGTGAGGGCAGCTGGGCAACACTGTAATCCCAGCACAAGATGATGGTGGCAGGGATAGGGCGGGAGCAGGGCCCTCCCTTCAGCTCCACGTGGTGGTGGTGGCCCAGGGGAAGAGGAACAGTGGGTGGAATCAAGAGGACTTCTGGGCTGCCACCCTCACTGGGTGCCCACCCCTCCTCACAGGCATGGCTGCCTTTGCCACAGCCCACCTCCTCTACCTCGCTGCCTTCAGCTTTTCCCCGCTGCAGCCGGCCACCCTGCTGCCCGTTGCCCTGGCTTGTGGCCCATACTATGGCCTCCTGCTGCCACGCCTGCCCCCGGACATGGCCCTGCCCTTGGTGGCCTATGCCCTCCTGCTGGCCACAGTGCTGTGGCGCGGCCTGGTCCGGGGTGGCAGTGCCGGCCTGGGAGCCCTGCTCTTCACAATCTCGGACTCCGTGCTGGCCTGGGACGCCTTTGCCCAGCCACTGCCCCATGCCCGCCTCGTGGTCATGACCACCTACTACGCCGCCCAGGCCCTCATTGCTCTGTCGGCCGTCAGCGGCCTGAGGCACAAAACAAACTGACCTGGCACTGTCCGTTCACCTCCCCTGCTGCCAGGGAGGTGTTCAGGCCTCCCGGAACTCCCATCCCAAGAGGAGCCTCATGGAGTGCACTTCCGGACTCCTTCCAGTGAGCACAGCAGGCTCAGCACGTTGGGTACCGTTTGCGGGTTTCCCGTTCCATCACAGAGTTCCAGAAATCTCCCCTTGGTTCCAAGTTTGGGTTCCAGGCCCCTCACCCAGACCCAGTGTGCCTCCCCATCCCTCTACCTCCTCCCCGGCCCTAATCTATTTTTTCACTGCCTAAGTAAAGTGGGCATTGAAATGGCAATGTGTCATTATTTTGGGAGGGACTTGTGGGGAAAGATGGTCACAATTAATGGCAGCAAACGTTTATTAAATGCTGACTATGACCCGGGCCTGGTGTCCAGGGCTTGTGGAACACGTTACAGAATTCTCCCCACGGCCCTGTGATGTGCAGGGTTCATGATCCCCGTTTTACAGGGGAGAATTTAAAGAGCTGAGGACCACAGGAGACTGGTCACATATCACATCAGGGGAGGAGAAGGCTAGGAAGGGGAGGAGATTCAAACATGAAGGGGCCTTGAAGGAAGGGGTGGGTGGCAAAGGGGTGGGAACAGAGCAGTAAGGATGTGTGGGCTCTACCTTGGCTGTCTGCCCCCGTCAAGCTGCTTCCCCTCTCTGGGCCTCAGGTTCTGCATCTGTAGACGTAAGGGATCACAACTGCGCTCCAATGCCCCATGGCACTTGGCTTCTACAGTCCACGATGTGCATTTGAGGACTCTTACAGCAGACAGGAGACTTCCTCATTCCATGATGTACACTTAAGGACTCATAACAAGGAAGAGACTTCCACATTCCATGGTGTGCACTTACGGACTCTTATGACGGACAGGGGGCTTCTACATTCTATGATGTGCACTCAGGGACTCAGAGGGGAGACCTCTATGTTCCATAATGTGCATTTGGGGACTCTTACAGCAGCAGAGAGGAGAGTTCTCACTCCATAATGTGCACTTATGGAGTCTTAGAGCAATGAGGAAACCTCTACATTCTGTGATGTATATTTGGGAACTCTTAACAGCAGAAACGACACCTCTACATTCCATGATATGCATTTGGGGACACTTACAGCAGAGAGGAGACGAGCATAGAGAACTCCTGCAGGTGTGATGGTGCAGAGATAGGAGGAAAAGTGGGGAGTCTGAGTAAAGGAAGACGGAGAATGAAGGTTAGGAGAGAACTCTACAGTTGAAACTAGGAGGAGATCCTAGTGTAAGAGCTTTCTGGGGAAGGGTAACAGCAGGAGGGGAGGATCTGAAAGGGTAGGTTCTCATGCATGAAACCTCCCCTTCCTCCTCTTCTCCTTCCCTCCCTCATCTTAGTCCACACAAAAGGGCTGGGAAAGGGAAAACTCCGCAGAGTAACTTTCAGCAGGAGGAAGGACTGGGGCTAGAGACATGAGTGGGGCCACGGTCAGTCAAGGGGCCTGGGGATGCCTGCTTTTGTTGGTGAGTGCTCCCCACCAGACTGGGCTCCAGGGCCTGGGGAAGGGGTTGGAGGGAAGAGGGGCTGGGGACTGGAAATCTGAGTTTTGGAAGAACAGGAAGCTGGGAACACAGACTTGTAAGTCTGAGGGAGGAGGTGTCTGGGGCTCCAACTCCTGGATCTGAGGAAATGGGCTGGGGGCCAGAACTCCTGGGTTTGAGGGAAGAGGGCCTGGGGGCCTGGAGGGCTGGTTCTTCAAGTGAACCCACACAGCCCTCACACCCAGGCCCAGTCGTGCCTGCACCCATCCTGCCATCTCTCCTCTCCGAATCAGTCTTCCCACAGCCCTTGTCTGATTTCTTGTCATCCGTGTTTCTCAAAAGCAGAACACCCCTGGGTGCCTGTGCAGCCCTCTCACCCTCCTTGCACTGCTGGGAGGAGCTGACCCTGGGGCAACCTGTGGCAGGACACAGGCCTGCGGAGAGGGGCAAATCTCCAGGGTCCCCCTTCCTTCTCAGGCCAGGATTTGCTCCTTGGAATGAGCAGGGAGGGGGATTCAGTAACCCTCCACCCCGGTCCTGCCTCCCAGACCCCTTTCTGAGTCTGACTCCTCACCTGGACTCTTCCCAGGCTGTGTGGACCCAGGTGGACACCATAACAACTGGTGAGTGACCCCACAGGGAAGAGTGAGAAAGGGCCAGGCAGGAGGCACAATGGGATTCCCTGCCCTGCTCACACTAGACCCTTCTCTCCATTTCACAGCCCCAGCCCAGTCAGAAACCTGAGTGTGGAGGTTCAGGCCACCAGCTCTGTCATCCTAAGCTGGGCAGCCTCTGAGGGCCCCAAACCCCAAATCTACTTGTCTTAGTTATCTAGTGCTGTTAGAAATGCCACAAGTGGATGGCTTTAACAAACAGAAATTTATTCTCTTACAGTTTGGGAGGGTAGAAGTCCGAATTCAGGGTGCCAGCTCCAGGGGAAGGCTTTCTCCCTCTGTTGGCTCTGGGGAAAGGTCCTTGTCATCAATCTTCCCCTTGTCTAGGAGCTTCTCAGTGCAGGGACCCCGGGTCCAAAGGACATGCTCTACTCTTGGTACTTCTTTCTTGGTGGTAATGAAGTCCCCGTCTCTCTGCTCCTTTCTCTTTTATATCTCAAAAGAGATTGACTCAAAATACAACCTAATCCTGTAGATTGTGTCTTGCCTCATTAACATAACTGCCTCTAATCCTGCCTTATTAATATCATAGAGGTTAGGATTTACAATACATAGAATAATCCTATCAGATCACAAAATGGAGGACTACACAATCCTGAGAATCATGGCCTGGCCAAGTTGACACACACTTTTGGGGGACACAGTTCAATCCATAACACAACCTTTATTGGGTCCAGTGCACTGGGGCAGCCATGGCTGAAAACCAGGTGAAATTATGCACTACAGATTAGTAAGTAAGCACAATTAAGACCGTACATACCTTTCTTATTGGGTAATCCATCCCTAGGAACTCAACCACTAGCCAAAATGTTGGCGGTTTAAATCTACCCAGAGGCACCTCAGAAGACAAGCCTGGTGATCTGCTTCCAAAAGGTCGCAGCCTTGAAAACCCTATGGAGCAGTTCTACTCCGCACACATGAGGTCACCAGAGGTTGGAATCGACTCAACAGCAACTAACAACATTACATAGCCAAGGGGGATTAAATGTGCAGATGGAATTAAGGTTACTAATCAGCCGATTTTAAAATGGGAAGGTTATTCTGGATTATCTGGGTAGGCCCAATGTAATCACAAGGATCCTTATAAGAGAGAGACAGTGGTTTACACCCTTATAAGAGGATTAGAGTCAGAGATTTGAAGAAGCTACTTTCCTGGCTTCGAAGATGGAGGAGGCAGCCATAAGCTAAGGAATGCAGATGGCCTGTAGAATCTGAAAAAGGCAAGAAAACAGATTCTTCCCTAGAGCCTCCATAAGGAACACAGCCCTGCCGACACTTTGATTTTAACCCCAGAAGACTTATTTTCAGAACTGTAAGAGAATAAATTTGTGTTGTTTTAAGCCACCAAACCAAAACCAAACCCATTGCCATCAAGTCAGTTACAACTCATGGTGACCCCATGTGTTACCAAGGTTGTGGTAATTTGTTACCACAGCAACTAGGAAACTAATACATCTTAGCCTTGTCTTGGCAGTCATGCAGGAGAGAATGTTCTTGGGGTACATGGACACAGTCTGCCTGTGTTCTCATTCCTCCTCTGCTGCTCAGTAACTGGACCTATAAGAAGTGCCTCCGTATTCCCATTTGCCAAATGGGAACAATAATAGTACCCACCTCAAAGGGCTGTTGTGAAGATTTAATGAGAAGTGTTGGGAAACAGCTCATAGCATTGTGCCTCCCATCTTGTCAGCACTCACTCAATGCTTGTATGTTTTATGCTCATGGTCAGGGCCACAAGAAAATGTCACCAGATAACAGTTCTTTCTTTGCTGTTCTTTTCAGGGCTATGACGTGGGGCTCTGGAGGCCTAGGGTCTGTGGGATGTGGGGACCCTGACTCCCTGCCCTTCCTACCAGTCCCCAGCCAGGTCATAGGTCTGAGGATGGAGACCACTCTGTCACACTGAGATGGATGTCCCCCATGGGCCCAGACCCTCAGACCTACACCTACTGGGTCCATTGGGCCAGTGCCAGCATTTCCAGAGGGACCAGAAATATGGCCACAAAGGTGGTTGTGATAGAGGGCCTGGAGTCAGGGACCTCATACACTTTCACTGTGTGGGCTGAGAGGAATGGAGTCTGCAGTGACAGAGCCTTCCATTCCCCTAGTGTGTGGCCTGCCCAGGCCTCCCTTGAGGCTCAAATGGGCTTCTCCAAGCTCCCTCAGGCTTAAAGAATCTCCTTAGATTTTCCTGCCTCCATTGCTATGGACATCTCTCCCTAGCAACTAGGAGAGGCCCTGGGGCTCAGGTACTGCATAAAACTAGTAGACCAGTTACCTAAAAGTCAGTTCCAACTCATGGCACTGTCATGCATGTCAGAGTAGAACTGAATTCCATAGGGTTTTCAATGGCTGATTTTTCAGAAATAGATCATCAGGCCTTTCTCCTGAGGTGCCTCTGGGTAAACCTGAACCTCCAACATTTTGGTTACCCGATGCTTAACCGTTTGAGTTCAGTGAGAGCCAAATGGACTACAAATCCCATCAGGCCACGGAGTAATGCCCATGTGAATTACAGCCACACAGCGTGCCCTGAGGCTTGCCATTGTAGTTTTTGATGGCACATTGTGTAATGGCTATAAAGGGTTGAAGATGAGAAGAGCTGAAAGGATTTGGTTTTGGTGTGGAAGGATGGGCTGGTTCTCGGAGAACTGGCAAGACAGGTGGTGGGACGATGGCTGTTGAGTGACTCCTTTTACTTCCTTCACCCAGCCCCAGACTCAGTCAACATCACCTCCTGTGTCAGCACCTCAGGGGGCCGTGGGATCATCCTGACCTTGTCCTCCCCCACTAGAGGCTACAAGGCCTTCGAGCTGGAGGTGGGTGGACAGCAGGGCCTCCAGAACAGGTCCTCATGTGGGAGGGGCATGTCCGTGTTGGGTCTCCAGCAGGCTCAGTCCTACATAGCCACCATCAAGGCTGTCTGGGATGGAATGAGGGCACCACCTGCATCCGTGACCTGCTACATCGACAGTGCAGGTGAGCAAGCCCCATAGGACCCAAGATTGGGGGGACGCTTCACTGGGTCTGCCTGAGCACCAGTTTTAGTAGCCAGGGTGTCTTAGTTTCTTAGTGCTGTTATAACAGAAATACCACAAGTGAGTGGCTTTAACAAACAGAAATTTATTTCCTTACAGTTTAGGAGGCTAGCAATTGGAATTCAGAGCGCTGGCTCTAGGGGAAGGCTCTTTCTCTGTCCACTCTGGGAGAAAATCCTTGTCTCGGCTTCTTTAGCTGGCAATTCGTTGGAGTTCCTGGGCTTGTAGACTGGTCTGCCTACTGCGTTTTTGGATAGTGTGATCTTCCCCTTGTGTCTGCTTTTTTCTGTGCCTAATCTGCTTTTTTATGTCTCAAAAGTGATTGGGCTAAGACACATCTTACACTAATACGACCTCATGAACATAACAAAGAAAACCCTATTCCAAATGGGATCACATCAGCAGTTATAGGGGTTAGAATTTATAACATATTTTTTGGGGACACAATTCAATCCATAACACAGACCTTCTGTGGTGACAGATCTTTGATAATTTTGAGCGTCTCCCACTAGCAACCCATACGTCAAAAAGGTGAGTGCTCACCTTCACCAAAGATCAGGGATATGGAGTGTCCATCCAGACCCCAGGGCTCTCTAGATGTCTCTAGGCTGGTTTTCAAAGAGTCTCCCACTAGCAACCCAACTAATGGGTTGGGTCCTCTGTCTCAAGGAGGTGTTGGGGTCTTTGGGACTCCATATCAGCCAAGATGTGGACTCCTGCCTCAGCATCCAAATGATCCCCTTACCTGTGGCAGCCAGCAAGCTGGTCCAGTTGTGAGGATTTTTGTTTTCTTTATGTTGAGGTGTAATCCTTACTGAAGATGGTAGTCTTTGATTTTCATCAGTAAGTGCTTCAAGTTTTGCAGAATGAGAGGAAACTGGGAGGTTAATGGCTAGGATTTGAGGCTCAATGCGACCCTGGCCGTTTTGCTGGGGTCACTCTTGGTGTACTTCTCTTTGTCAACATGGCAGCCTTGCTGGTTTACTTCCTGTGGCAGAGGTCAGACTCTGGTGGGACCAATGAGTTTGTTGGGAGGGGGTTGGGAATGGGCAGGGGGAGAAGGAAGGGTGGCAGAGAAAACGTCCAAATGGTGGGGAAGAACAAGGGCCCCGAGAGACATTCTCACTCCCAGGTCTTCCAACTCAAAGTCCTTCTCCTCAGGAAGAAGAACCACGGGATACCCAAGTTCGAGGACGTCATTCTCAGGTATGTGGAGTGTTTGCAGAGCATTGACTAGTTATGCTAGCTGCTTCTGTCTATGGCTTCAATACCCTCTCCTCTATCCCTTTCATTCCCCATCCATTGCCCTTTGACCTCACGGAGATTTCTGTGCCTTCAAACTCATTGTTACAAAAACTGTCCTTGAACTCTCTCCTGGTCTCACTACTTCCCCTACTCAACATGCACCTCATGGACCATCACTTTATTTGCTTTCTCACCAGTATCCTAACTTTATATTGACCAAATACGTTAACTAGTTTAAAGAAAAATTTCCAAGAGTTGATAATGAAAATGCCAGGCCCCTGACCCTCCCTTGCAACACCCTGTCCTTCTCCCTAGAGACACAACCATTTTAAACTTCTGGCAGTTACCTAGATAATAACTGCAACGACAGACTTACACACATCAATGATCATGAAGATGGTGCAGAATTGGGCAACATTTCGTTCTGCTATACATAACGTTGCCTTGAGTTGGAGCCAGCTTGACGGCAACTAACAACAATTACCTCCATATCTCTAGAATCTAGAATTATTTAATCAAAGCTTTGAAAAATAATAAGTCACTTCATACCTTCTTAATTTCTTCTTCTCTCTCCAAATCTTCCTAATATTAGCATTTTTAGCTCCTGATGGGCTTCCCTTTGTAACTTAACTAATATCTGTAGGATCTTTGTTTCTTATCCCCTTAGATGGTGTCTCTTGACTTCCTACTTGGAAGAATAAGGATTTTGGAACCCTACTCGTCCCTCTCATTCTCCGCCCCACTTTCCATTTCCTACCACCTGTCATCTTTAACATCATCAAGAGTAATTACATTTATTCTCAGTTCTGTGGCCATTCTGTGATTTATACCTAGGTTGATTCCCAAAGTTAAAAATTAATGTGTTGCCAGTTTATAAAGACAATGTTCTACATTCTACCTTGGTGAGTAGCGTCTAGGGTCTTTTAAGCCTGTGAGCAGCCATCTAAGATACTCCACTGGTCTCACCCCTT